ACCTTGTATCCACCAATTTTTCTCATCTTTAGTCTAATCATCCTACCTAAAGCCATCAGTGTTTCAGAGTTGAAGCACTGCATTGGTCTCCTCCACGGCGTTGGCCATCTGTTCTACCCACAGAAGGCACACTGATCTTAAAATTTTAAATTGAATCATGTCACTTGTTTAGAACCCTGCAATGGCTGCCCATGCGGCCTTATAGGCTCTAATCATGGCCAGTCTCACCAGACCATTACACTTGGCCTTACTCTTCTCTTTCCAGCCCTGCTGAACTCAATGCCCCAAGCTCTTCCTTGCTTCAAGGCCTTTGCACAAACTGTTTTCTCTTCCTGGAGCATTTATTGTACCTCACACTGCCAGTTTTAATTATATGTCACTTTCTCCAGGAAGCCTTCCTTAATTCTTCAGTTTTTAGATTAAAACAGCACCCTGTACTTACCGTTTGAAGTTGTCATCCCAATTGCACTCAAGTAATTGTTTGTTTCACCTCTGCCTCCTCCCTTTGACTAAAAGAATGACTAGATAGACTGCTTTTCCTTTATTCTTTCTTTCTTTTTTTTTTTTTTTTTTTTTTTTTGAAAGAGTCTTACTCTGTCGTCCAGGCAGGAGTGCAGTGACGCGATCTTGGTTCACTGCAAACCCTGCTTCCTGGGTTCAAGCGATTCTTCTGCCTCAGCCTCCAGAGTTGCTGGGACTACAGGTGTGTGCCACCACGCCCAGCTAATTGTTGTATTTTTAGTAGAGACGGGGTTTCACCAGGCTGGTCTCGAACTCCTGACCTCATGATCCGGCCACCTCAGCCTCCCAAACTTCTGGGATTATAGGCGTGAGCCACTGTGCCCAGCCCAGACTGCTTTTCTTATTCACCATTGATTCTTTCTAAAGCAGGACCTAGCACATGTTACATTAACAGCACGTATTAGGTAAAAATGTAGCCTAGCACAGGTTAGTGCTAGCCCAGGTGCTAGCACATGGGCCCAGCACATGTCAGGTAAGTGCATGAAATAACCAGTGAGGTTGTTCCCCTAATTTAACCAGGACAGAATGAATGCCTGGGCGAGTGGTGAAGGTAAAATCAGGGAAGGTTAAAAGTAAGATAAGGATGACTAGAAGATGGATCTGATGGTTTTAGTTATGGGGACAAGATTGTAGTACCATTAGCAGTGTTAGGAAATGCAAGGAGAAGAAACAAGCAGCATTGTGGAGAATAATGTTGGGAACTGAAGTGTGAGCAGCTTCACTTGAGATTTCTTTGGAATAGCCAAGTAAAAAATGCCTCTCAAAAACTGGCTATGCCAGCCAAAACCCAAGAAAGATATCTGAACCAAAGAAACACAAATAGTTGGCTGTCAGTATTCATGGGTTTCATCTCTGTAGATTGAACCAACCACAAATCAAAAATATTCAGAAAAAAATGATGTCTATATTGAACATGTACAAATTTTTCCTTGTTATTATTTCCTAAGCAATACATTATAGCAACTATTTATATAGCATTTACATTGGATTAAGTATTATAAATAGTATAGAGATGTCTTATGGTACAGTCATACCTTGGTTCCAGGACCCTGTGTCTACTAAAATCCTGTCTACTCAAGTCTTGCAGATCACCCTGCAGAACCTGTGTGTTGGAAAAGTCTGCCCTTCTTAGATGCGGGTCTCACATCCTGCCAATATCGTATTTTTAATAAGTGTTTAGTTGAAAAAAAAATCCACTTATAGGTGGACCCATGCAGCTCAAACCTGTGTTGTTCAAGGATTAACCGTATACAGGAGGAACAGCGTCAGTTACATGCAAATACTATACCATTTTATATCAGGGAGTTGAGCATCAGTGAATGTTGTTATCTGCAGGAGATCCTGGAACAAATCCCCCATAGATGACAGGGATGACTGTATATGTTCCTAATACATAGTGGAAGTAGAGGGCATGTGTCCAGGCATGACTGCCATATAACAAGCAAAGGGTGGGATCAGAAACCAATTGATTACGTACTTATTGAGGCTCCAACATTTACTAACTTTTCTTCTTTTCCACTGATTCCCCTTTATTGGCATTAATCTGGGCACCACGAGTTTTGTAGCAGTACCTTCCCTCACCACTGTCTGGTCTCTGGGCCTTGCCTTTGCTTCATGACATTGCTGCTGCTATCCTTAGGAGACACTTCCAAGGACCTCCGTGGCCCGCTGGTGGGAAGCGGGATGGGGCAGCAGGGCCAGTAGCGTGTGCTCTCCAAAGGGTGGGGCACAGATGCAACAGGCAGTGAAGTAGCTCTGGCTTGCTAACCTTCGGGACCAGTGTGGGAATGGGTGGTTACTGGTGCTTCGCTACTGGTGGCTGCTGTATCTCTTAATTTATTTTCCTGTTGTTTCTATTCCCAAGATATTGAGGGAGTTAGTCCTAACTAGAGGCCGCCCCTACCTTCACTTGAGTTGTAGATTTTTTTGTGATTAGTTTTATTTTATTATTTTATATTTTTGATTTATGATGAGTCCTTTCCTATTCATCACCACCATTCCCAAGCTAAACTGTGACAAATCCAGTTCTTGTGTCCTAGGAAAGGGCCTTGCCAACCTCAGCACAACTCTCCTACCCTATTTAACAGCCCAGGTGCTTTGATGGAGCCAGGAGGGCATGGCTAGACTCCCCAGTGGGGAAAGTTTGGAGCACCTGGCAAAATGACTCCTCCCCATCCAACCTCCCCCTCCTGCATTCAGTTTCTCCTCTGGATTCAATATGTAATAAAGTTTGGAATTTGAGGAAGAAAAATAGTTCATTTGCTTCTCTGTGCTTCTGTTTCCCCATGTGATAAAGAAGGATAAGAGTCACCTCTAACTCATAGGTGCTAACTCGTATGTAGTTGGGAGAGAGCAAATGTGTCCATGCATGTAAAGCTCTCCAAAAGGGCTCAATGAATACTAATTTGATTATATTACTATTATTAATATGTTTTAAATTATCCAAGAAAAACATTTAACATAAGGAAAAAGTAAGTTATGAATGACTCTGAGAAGTACACGGAGAAGGAAACAAAGAAAGAATGCTCTGAGGGATTGGTGGAGGAGTGTTGGAGAAAGGCTTAAGATGCTGAAGAAAGTATTTCCACGTAGATGAGAAAAGTCAAAATATAGTGGTACAGACAAGGCCCAGACTGTGTGAGACTAAGATGAGGTTTGTTGGCAGATCATTGTTAAGGTTAGGAGGAGACAGCTAATGAAAATGGGGCTGCTGAAGGTTGAATTGACTGCTAAACCCTCCACCAAGCAAAGAAGACACAAATTGAAAACATCACCTATGTGTTTTAATGGGAACCTAGAATAAATAAATGAATATATATTTATATATACTCAGAGGGAGAGGACTATCTTAGATAATTCAAAGTCGTGAAGAGGATATGTGGGAAACGGAAAAGGAAGATGACTGAGGAGTGTGGATTCTAGGATCCAGTCCTGCTGACACCTCCACCAGCTCTGTCACCTTAGACAAGCTGCCTCTTTTTGGGGCTTGGTGCCTTCATCTGTAAAAAGGAAGGAGATGGAATAGGTGATCTTCAGTGACACTCTCAGCTTTGTAATCCCCATGGATTCAAACCATTCATCTTATCTTGGGTAATTATTTTTTAAAATATTATTTCAAGATTTAATTTGCCAACTTGCATCTTCCCCCTACTAGTAACTATAAGGTAATTTAATGAGTTCGTAAATTCTGGAGTGGAATTGGCATCAGTAGAACAATGATTATCATGGATTAAATATTATATTATTCGGCAAAGAAGATGTTTCTCCCAGGAAATCACCCTCCTGTATTTATTTATGTACTTAGTATTTTAAGATCCTTACTTATTTATCAAGGTATTTATAAAGCATATATTCATTTATTTATTTATTCAATTTTGAGCAACTTCATGCGGCAAACACACCGTTAGGTACAAGTGACCCAGAGGAGAGTAGACCTAAAGGAGATCCCTAGCAAATAGTGAAGACTGATATATGAACGTGTAAGTGGCAACGTTGTATAAAAAGCACAACATTGTGTGTGTCTAGAGAAGGGACTAATATTCTTTCATATGGGAACAAGATGTCACTTTTAACACAGTATAGATAGACGTCATTCTTTCACTGCTATTTTGCATTTCATTATATTTCAGTTATACATTTGTTATTTTTGATGTTATTTTTAATTTTCTTGTTCAATAATTAAACTGAGATTTTGAATATAATATGACAAAAAGATTAAATTGGTACATTTTTACTGCTATCATTGCTTTTAGTGGAAGAAGTAAAAAGTTATATATTTTTACTCTTTATGCTTATTTATTTTTGACATTTAAGAGTTAATAATTTTAATATGCGTTTTGATGTGTTGGAAGTCACTTTTTTGTGTAACATCCTAAAATATTATAAATATTTTTATTGATATGCCTGAATATGTTCAACTTGTAGGCAAATCCAAATGACCTCTATAAATAGTCTGCACAGTAAGCAGTTTAAAAAGAAATTACAATTCTGTAAATATTTTGTAGATACAAAAAGGAAATCTGATGGGTTTTTGTCTATGTTTATGCCACTAACATTTCAGTAAACAAAATACATTAAAGAAAATGAAAGAGGACGTGCATGGTGGCTCACTTCTATAATCCGAGCGCTTTGGGAGAAGCTCAAGATGAGCCTGGCAGCATAAGGAGACCCTGTCTCTACATAGAATTAAAAGAAAAAATCAACCAGATGTGGCAACACATGCCTGTAGTCCTAGTTACTCAAGAGGCTCAGGAGGGAGGATGGTTTGAGCCCAGTAGTTTGAGGCTACACAGTGAGCTAGGATCATGCCAGTGCACTCCAGTCTGGGCAACAGAGTGAGACCCCATCTCTTAAAAAAGAAAAAAAAAAAAAAGGAAAACTAAGGAGCTCTGCAGTTAGAGAGGTGCCTTTGAAAATTGTTTATTGCCAAAATTTTTTAAACACTACTGACATTCAAGTCCCTTTGTTTAAAATTGCAGCACCTTATGAAATATGCCCTGAGGATTATCTGATGTCGATGGTGTGGAAAAGGACTCCAGCAGGCGACTTGGCATTCAATCAATGTCCTCTGAATGCCACAGGTACAGTAGGATGATCCACCCCGACCCTAATGATAATCCCCATCCAAGAGCAGTGTGCGATGTTGGTTTATGAAGTCATGTTTTTGTCTTATATCCATAAATAAGTCTGTCCGATAAGCAAATAATGAAACAATTTTGGTGAAGTGCTTCATAAATGAAGCCAATGAAAAGATGTAGAAAATATTGCTAGTGTAATTGTTTCTCAGTGTGACTAATATGCATTATAAGAAATAATCAAAATATCAATTTCTTGTGCATGTTTTTTAAAGAAAAAAAAATACAAACTTAATTTTTAGCCTGATTCCCAACTATGTGTGATGCCTTCAAGCATCCCTATTATAAAGCTTCTCTCTGTTCTTTGTGACACGCAGGCACCACTAGCAGACGCTGCTCTCTCAGTCTTCATGGAGTGGCCTTCTGGGAACAGCCGAGCTTTGCAAGATGCATATCAAATGAGTACAGACACTTGCAGCATTCAGTAGGTGCAAAGCCAGCTTTAGTACTTGCTCTGTTTATTTTTTGCTAATGATCACAGTGTGAGAATTTAACCTTCTGCTGTACAATCAAATCAGTAACATCTCTAAGAAAGAAATGCCTGAAGGAGAAAGCCATGTGATAGAAAGCTAATTTTTATAAGTCGGTGCTAAATTGTTTTGTTCCTAGTACATGGGTTTTTATGGATCCTGCTGTTTAAATGAAAGAATCCCTTGTCTAGTGGGGGAAAGGCCTGAGCAAAATCTGTTATTCAGTTTTACCTATAAAAATTAAACATATGCATTGTGATTGGCTTAAGTCTGCGTTAAATACTTATTTTAAAATATCATACATTTTAAAATTAAATTATTTAAATTTTCAGTAGTTGGACAATAGTAAAGCTATGTCACTTAGCTATCAAATTGTTCACTGCAGTTTGAGATTAAGACATTAAAATAAATGACAGTGTTATTGCACCAGAGATACTTAATTACTCCCAAAAGATTACATGGGCCAAATTTTCCGAAAATAGCTCTTCTTTTCCCACATATCATTGACTTATTCACAGAGTATGATGCATGAATATTTTGAGCACAGTTACATTTTGCCTGGTATTTTACAAGTACAAGTCATTGTCATTACTGCAGACTGTTGTCATTTCATACTGACAGGCAAGAGGGTCTCCATACATGAGTAAACACTGTGGGGTGTAGAACAAAATATGAACATGAGCCAACTGGGAAGTTGAATCTTGGCAAGAGTGATGTTTACTTAAATGCCTTTATGTTTTGTTGTGCGTATGTTTTCTTTTACGGTTCTTACTGTCACTCAAAAATATACAAAACTTTTTTAAGAATCCTAAAGAGTATTCTTGTGGATGAAGAAATAGCTTATACAGTAACAACCCCTATCAACTAATAGAATGAGTATTTGTTTCATTATCAGAAAACCAAAGAAATGCATTTTTTAACATCTGAAAGTCAAATTCTGCACAGCATGTTTACTTACGAAACTTGGAGTTAAATTTATCATTATTTAACTCTCTAGAGCATTATTTCTGTCATTATATATACTTATGTATAGCTATATACAGTTGACCCTTAAATAATGTGGCAGTTAGGGGCACCAACCGCCAGGGCAGTCGAAAATCTGTATGTAAGTTTTGACTCCCTTCAAATTTACTAATAGCCTGTTCTTGACCAGTAAGGAAGGCTCACTGATAACAAAAACAGTTTATTAACACATATTTCATATGTTACATATATTTTGTACCGTATTTTTACAATAAAGTAAGCTAAAGAAAAGAAAATGTTATTAAGAAAATCATAAAGAAGATATATTTGCTTGAATAGTGGAAGTAGATTATCATAAAAGTCTTCATCCTCGTTATCTTTAGGCTGAGAAGGAGAAAGAGGAGGGGTTGGTCTTGCAGGCTCAGGAGTGGCACAGGCAGTACAAAATCTGCACATAAGTGGACTGCACAGTTCAAACCTGTGTTGTTCAAGGGCCATTGCTACAGATATGTGTATAGCAGTAATTGATGATTACTTGGCTAATTTCTATATATACTTATAATATAGAAAAATACATAATTATTTTTACATATTTATCACACAAAGTTTTATATTTATATATCATATAATATGTATTATATTGATATAAATGTAAAAATAGAAATATAAATAAGGTTTTATATTTATATATTATATGCAGATATATAAATATACACATGTATTTTTTATAGTCATTTTTGTTTATATTTAGAGACAAAAATATATATGTGAGATAATATAACATATAGCTTAGTTTCATAATATAAAATTTAAGAATATGAAATATAAAGCTTCTTTTATTAATAGCTTTCAATAACTCAGACCGTTATATTTCAAAATTAGGTATAAGTGAAAACATATAGATTAAATTTTAATGGATTTTTTTTCTAATTTTAGTCACTAGACTTTGTTTACTTTAATTATATCCATATTCAGTTCTTGTTTAGTCATGGTGATGAATGGGAATAATTGCATGGATTAAGTAAATAATAGAGCAATCTTTACAAATTTGCTAAGAATGAATAGTATCACTTTTGTTGCAGAAAATTTTCACTTTCCAAATGTACTGTTTTGTACTTCAATATTTAAATGAGGTTTCATTCTTGAGTACAGGCCATCTGATGATGGATGAGATAGATACACTCAGTGAAATAGAAGAAATGAACTCTCAAAGTGTGAATCCTGTTGAAATTATTCAGTCAATAATTGACAGCAGATATGAATATGCCCTTGTTGACTTGGTTGCAATTATCAGGTGCATGATCTTGTATAGTAAAAAGCTGCCTCTGTTTATTCGGCTCCTACATAGTGCCAGGCACTTGGCTGGAAACTTTCATAAATGAATCCCAGTCCTCACAAGAATCTGCAAGATGGGTGTCCATGCTGCAGTTTACATAAAAAGAAACTGAATATCTGTAGGGGAGCAGTCTACTTCAGTGAGGTAAAGAGTGAAAGGTATGCCCTAGGCACAATTGTTTCAAAACCTAATCTCTTTTCTTTAGGCCATTTAATCTTTTCGACTTTTGATATGAAATCATCTGTCCTACACTCTATTGCCGGGAGCAGTATTTTCTGGGTACATGTTCTTAGGAAAAGTCACATGATCACACTCAAGTCTTATCTTGCTATTTACAAAATGGAATTGGTTCCATCATCTTAGCACCTGTGGAAGTTTTGGAATGGAACAAATGAGATGAAATAATCATACCATTGTGAAAGAGTTGTGTAACAATGGGCATTAATATTTCTGGGTACAGAAAATTGATTTTGAGTTTAAAGAATTGTTTCAATAAGAATACAATTATAGAACTCAACATATTGTTAATTTGAGCTGTACCTGTAGAAAAGTATAGATAAATTAGATATGGACAGATGGTTGGATAGGTAAGTAGATAGATAGATAGATAGTTGATAGTTACGTAGATAGATAGAGACAAGATAGACGTTGCATATATTTTGGCATATGAATTATGCTCAAATACATGTATGAAATATACACACACATTTATACATGCATACATACACAAATCTAGGGCCTGTGTATGTATGCATACACAAGAAAAGAGCATGATCTTTTTACATGTTCAGTAAAGTATAGGATGAATGAATCTATACTTTAAATAATGCTTATGTCACACATCAGCCTCATCATCCATACTCTGCATACTCAGTTGGAAACAGAAATGAGATCAACGTTTCTGCATAGTCTTACTCATTCTGAGGTTTTGCTAAGTCATGCTTTGTCTAAGTAGCAAAACTAGATAGTATTTGTGATACAGAACATTTGAGACTTCCTCAAATTCTTAAGTTAGTTTGGAGACTATGCTTTTTTCTCTTTTAGTAGTTTATCATTTCAACATTTAATCCTTAAGAGATTTCATTGCCTTACCCCTCTATATTCAAAAATTTCATTCAATAATAATTAATTATAATCTACTTTAGAAAAATATTTAAAATAGGTAGATCTATGTTTTCCAACTATTTGAAACATAGATTACAATATATGTGTATACCTACTTTATAAATATATAGCAATCACCTAAATTTGAAATGAAATTTTATCATTAATAAACATTAGTTGTGTATGTTCTATGAACTCTCAATTATAAATCAGATGAGGTAAACAAAAGGGCCATTAATAAGTTTAAGATATAAAATCACTAATCTGTCATGTTGGACATTTGGTTTGAATTATTTGAGGTCAAGAACCTTTTTTTTCTTTTTTTGCAGACCTCCATTGCTATAGTTCCTAACACAATACTAAGCGTATACTATTAATAAATATTTCATAGATTTTTGAGTAAAGTATGACTTTGCTACTTTTCTTATCCGTAGAAGGATACTGGTAGCTGGAGAGTTCTGAGAAGGTGATACACCAGACTTAATGTTTATGCATATTAACCACATGAAAGTAACGAGTATTAGCCTTCATGTGCAATTTTTCTAGCCCCAAAATATCTAGAAATGTGTAGTGATTTGTGAAATCACTTTATGAAATTATTCAGCCATTGCATAATGATGTCAATATGTTTGTTGTTGTTTTTTAAAAGACAAGACACAACTACACATACCCAATTAAATAAAATTGAGAATGTAAGAACAAAGTGCTAAATGTAGTGAGATTCTTGGAAATTTTAAATTTTTAATATGTTAATGTTTCATTTCATACTGTGGAGTATGTTTTGAATTGTATACCAGACAAAGCAAACATAATTGCAAAACTCTTGAAAAATAGGCACAGGAGTCAAATAAGTTAACAATATCGTTTCTTATTACTTATAAAGCTATTTGGAGAACATGGCTAAATATTGTGGTCCAGTGGGCCAGCCTACACTTGAACAAATAGACTTATTTTGTCTTTGGTGTATGCGAACAATCACAGGTGACATTCTCTTTCTCTCTCTCTTTTTTCCTCTTCCTCCTCTTCCTCTCTTTTACATACATACAAACAGACACCTGGGGAGACAAGCTGTGTGTAACTGGCAGAATGTATGCCCCTGTAGATAGACAAATCTAAAGCAAAGGGGGGTGGTCCAAGCATACCAATGCTTTCTCCTAAATGTATTGGACAGGTATATCACTCCTCCTTCCCTGGAGATGAGTGAGTGATGAAGATGGAGAAAGGCTAAAGATACTACTCTAATGGAAGCTCTTCCATAGGAAAATATGAAGAATTAGGTATAAATGTCCCGTGTTAGGTTATTATTCCTTAAAACTCTGTTTCTATGATTCAAATCTTCATTAAACAAACAAATACAAATGTTGGAGTGATTATTTAGTCATCTTTACCTAACATATTTTACAGATATTAAAGAGCTTGAATCCTGTTTAAGGACTTTATTCCTCTTATTTTCCTCTACTCTTATGGGTAGTTTATTAGAACAGATAGCTGGAGCTACAGAGAGACAGAGAGACCAAGAGAGACAGAGAGACCAAGAGAGATAAAGAAACT